CCGGAGTGACTGTAACTGACCAGAACGTCCTGAATGCGGCTGCTTTGGCACCCCCTCACTCCCTCTTCCTCCCCCTCCCCCTCTCCCACCGACCCCTACCTTCCCCTGTCCCCCCTCCTCCCGGCAGTAGAGAGGAAAATTACATTAACTGCGTGTCGGCTGTGGATCCAGCCGGAGTGACTGTAACTGACCAGAACGTCCTGAATGCGGCTGCCTGCCTGTCACCGCCTCTCTTCTTCCACCGCTCACAGGCTCTGCCTCCCTGCAGCAGGAGGGAGGGTTCGGCACACCCCCGCCCCCGCTTTCCCTCCGACGAGACCCGCCCCTGCCAGAGTACCTCCTGATAGTCCGGCATTTCTGATAATCCGGCACCACCTGGGTCCCAAGGGTGCCGGATTATAGGAAGTCTACTGTAATAAGCAAAAAAGCTAAAAAAAATATGTAATAAAGTTAATGAAAAGAAACTTACTGTTATTTTGGGGGTCTAAGCTGCTTGTGTTTTCTGTAATTAGAAATCTCACACTTAATTTTGGATTTACGAAGCCACATTTAACTGCCTTCCCATTTTGCCCCACAAAAGCATACCAGGAGCTGCCTACTAAAAAGCCCACTATCAGACACAGAACTCTAAAGTCCATAATAAAAAATCATAGCCAAACTTTTTAAAATGTAACTGGGGAAAACTGAGATATTCACAAACGTATCTTTAAAAGTAAGTAAAAAGCAAAAAAGCTAAAAAAAATTAAGTTCATGAAAAGAAACTTACTGTTATTTTGGGGGTCTGACTTGCATGTGTTTTCTGTAATTAGAAATCTCACACTTAATTTTGGATTTACATTTCCTCACATACATTATCTAATCCAGTTATCTCTTTGCCACCACAATATTCTCCATTAACCAGGATTTTCCAATGAAATTTTTTTTTCTCCATAGGGATGCTGACCTGTTGTCAACTATACGATAACCATTAAGACCTCGCTTATCGGTTCATCTTGTTGACTACACGCATCTCCCCCGTTCCCCATCTGCTGCCTCTATATCAGACATAGCCGGGGGGAGGAGCAGGAGCCAGTGGGAACTAGCTTCAAATATGTTTCCCCCTAGTACCGGCTCCGTGGTCTGCCTTTGCTCCTTCCCCCCAACCTGCTCTGAAGCAGCCTGTACTCACGATGGGCTCAAGCTCCCTGCAGACAGAGGCTGCTCCATCTGTGTATCATAATTTAGTACTTTTACCCATACTGCATGAGACAGCATTACACTATTCTACGAAGAAGATATGGTAGCACTTCCTTTGTGATCTTAGGGAAGTTACTTCACATCCCCGTGGAACAGTTTCCATCACTGTAAAATGGGGATAAGTACTCATATACAGGCAGTCCCCGGGTTACGTACAAGATAGGGACTGTAGGTTTGTTCTTAAGTTGAATTTGTATGTAAGTCGGAACTGGTACATATTGTAGGGGAAACTCTAGCCAAACATTTCTCCAGAGCTCAGTTTTATTCTCCCACACCTCACTTCCCTCAGGCCTTTATTCTCAAGCCTCCGCATCTCCCTGGTCTGCTTGGGGGGGGGCGCGCTAGCTTCGCGTCTCCCTGGTCTGCTGGGGGGAAGCAGCTAGTGCGAGGTTGCCTCACCCCCGTTTGTAAGTAGGGATCCGATGTAAGTCGGATCCATGTAACCCGGGGACTGCCTGTATTTAAAGTGCTAAGATATCATTGTTGAGAACAGAGTTACACTACTGAATAAGGATGTTAAGGAATGAGTATTTTGCTAATTGTGTAGTCTATACAATTTGTATCGAGGTGCTCTGCAAAGCTGTAGTGGGGGTAGCTCCCTGAACAGATGCAAACCGAGACTGAGCAATCCCAGCTCGCACAGGCTCCGAGACCACTGAGCTTCTGCATGAATTGAGAAATGGTTTTAATGCCAATTATTATTAAACCAGAACATTTTACAGTAACTGAATGCTACACGTCAGGGCTCACCAAGCAATGGCGAGCCCCGCTTACCAGCCACGCGGTTCTGCGCAGATCATTCTGCACACGTGAAGATCATTCTGCACCAGCTCTTCCGGGGAGTAAGAAAAGCTCTGCTACACGTGATGTGCAGAAAATGCTTTAAACAGCATTTTCCTTTAAAATGGTTGACAATAAGTGGGGTGCATTAATAGCTCATGCTATGGTCACAACACCTCAAAACCACCACAACTCTGGACCAAACACACTCATTCATACATTGGCTAAACTGCAGATGAAATTAATAAGTCTTGAATGAATTAAGGAGTTCTGAATGAGCAAGAAATGTTGAAGCTCCATAACCAGAAATTTTAAGAACAAATTAGAAATATAAGATTTTCATATTTGAGATCTCTGCAATGAATGGTACAAGTGTAGCGTATAAAGCTCAACATTGTACAGCTCTGAAGACAGAAGGGCCTGACCATAGTTGGGATGTAATATGTTAAGTTTAACAGGTTAACTAATTAAATGGGAGAGGCTGGAGCAGCCCCTCCTGCCATGGACAGGGGCTTCTCTAGGCCCTATGTGGAGGCCCAGAGGGGCCGGAGCATCCCACTGCAGAGTGCTCCTGAATACCAGTTAACCATTATCATCCCTAGATCATTGTTTTCAGTAGTGTTATGAAGAGGATACTGATCAATTATTCTCCGTGTCCACATGTCATTTTTTGCAATTTCATGAACATTATATGTTTATGCAAAATCTCACTTACAAAGAATCTGAAATGTTCACAGAAGCCTGTTCTATTTGATTAACCATGGTCTATACTTTTTTTTATTTCAACAAAAGAAGTTATGTATCATATAAAAAAGTACCTTAAATTTATATTTAAAATAAAAATTTTTATATGAGCAAATAATTTTACACATGAAATTATTGTATTATATTAAAACACGACCTGAGAAATTATAAAATATACCTAAAACAATGTATAATAATAATAAATAATTTTGTCTTTCTGATAGAAGTAAATTTTCTTTGCTGGCCCTGAGAGCTATCAGTTTCCGTTTGTAAGGCCCTCCGTAGGCTTCAAGTTTAACATGCCTGGTCTAGACATATTTGATTCTACCTCAGTTCATTCACTCAAGGGGGATGTGTGGACTACATGCACTCTTGAGTTCTCTTCTAGCACTGTGTTTCTAAATCTAGAAAATGGATCATAATATACTTAAACTAAAATGAACATGGCACAAATACCTTACACTATAAAAATTAAAGAAGGTGGGAAAACTTCACCATCCCTAAAAGTTAATGGACACAGTGGCAGCCTGCAGACCTATCTGTTGTCACAGAAATATTCCCCTGGACTCTGACACACCAATGCTCTCAAAAACTACTTGAGTAAAGACTGGGCTTTATAGTCTTAAGTATTTTAATAGCTCATTTTCATATTTGATATTTTGTGTCCTTTCCCTCAAAGCCTCATTTGTTTTCTTTCATAGCAGGCTTACAAAAATCACAGACAATTTACCTTGACGGTATGTAAGTTCAATTATAGTTTCTCCTTCCCTATTCGATTCTGTCACTTCACAAGTGTAGTTTCCTGCAGGTGCCTCAGTCCTTGATAATTTCAAAGAGGCTATGCCCTGAGGTAAACGGTCCTCAAATGCTAACATAGCAGATGGAAAATCCTTGGTTCTGTGGCTGTATCTTTTAATTCCCTCATAAGCGAAAACGAGTTCTTGTCCCAGTTTCCATTTAATAAACATCCTCTCCGTCCTTTTTAGTTCTAGATTATTCACGATGCAAGGTAGCATGACCGTTGTATTACAAATGCTTGATTCAACAGACTTGGTTGCATTGAACATCAACTGGGAAGAACCTGGAAGAAAAAGAAAAAAGTTTGATTAGACAGTATTCCAGAATTTATGCAACACCTGCGCAAGAAGAAAGCTACTGAAATATTGAAAAGTTTAATGGATGGCCACCAAGCACAGACTAATGTTCTTCATAAGGGATGACAACAAAGAAAATGAGATAAGGCGGCAAGACAAAAAACGCTGAGGGGAAAAAAGTGAAGAAAAGGAAGGAAGGATAGATGAATTTTAAAAAAATATCCGAGAGGAAGAGGCAAGATGAGATTACAGAAACAGAATTCAAGCAGAAGCCGCTCGAGTGGAGACTGCTTCAGTCCCCATTCTGTTTCCCCACTGTGCCTCTGCCTCCATCTCCCGGATACGGTGCTGGAGGGAACCGGCTTTTAAGCCAGCTCCCCTCCCTTACTGCCTCTCTCTGATAGAGGCAGCAAGGGGGGTGGGGTGGGGAGCAACTAGTCACATCACTAGTTGATTATTCAATAAGCTAATGCTTATCGGATAGTCGACTAGTCACTTACAGCCCTAGCGTGGGATAAGAGACTGTGCATTGGGCAAGCTGAACGTGTGGGGTCTCCAGGTACAGGGGCAATGGAACTCTCCAGGGGAGGCCAGGTGAAGGTGGGTGGGGATCAGTGGGCATCTGGGAGTGGAAACACAGGGCACAGCAAGCTGAGGTTGAGCTGCTCAGCAGACTGGTCCAGGTACTGCAGGTTGGGGCTCAGCAGGTAAAGGTCCAGGCCCAGAGGAGGTAGGGCTCATCAGAGTGGAAGTTTAACGGGCCAGCTGCTGTCAAGGGAATGCCACATGCTAGGCTGATGCTTCTCCTAGCCCCATCCCATTATCTACCACCCCATTCCCTCCCTCTTCCTCTCCCCACTGATCTCCTTCCCCCCATTCCCATTTGCCCAACCCAATCCCACTCCATTCATTCCCCACTGTCTCTTCTGCCAACCCCACTTGCCTTCCCCCCTTGCCCTCCTCCATGACTCACTATTGTACATAAAATAGGCTGGTTCCCAGTACACAGAACTGGAACATGATCAACACTAGAACTGAGGAGGTGGCCTCCAAGCAGTACCCTCTTCCAGGAGGGCAGATTTGCGCTTGTAGAAATGTGGGGGTAGGAAGCAGTGGAAGGTGACCTCATGTATTTCCACACACCTCATCTCCCCTCTAAACTATGCCCAGCCCCTCCCCACATAGTTTTTCTTTGCTTCCCTATCACTTTCTGCAGGGAAGCAAAGAATTTTGCTGTTTGTGCACGCGCCGTGTCGCAGAATTCCCACAGGAGTAAGAGTTAAGCTCTTCTTTTGTAGAATTTTTCTTCGCAGCTGAAAGGGGACAGAGGAGGGAAATAAACACCACTATTGTTTCTGCCATAGTCCCTAAAGAAGCATGGAAGGAAAGAAGGATGGTTTATACAAAAATGATTTTTTGTACCTTCCATATTCTGAAGGGGGAGTCAACACCCGGGGGGGTCAGAACTTACTTTGCAAATTATATCTTAATTTGTATAGAGGGGCTGCACACCCAAAAAGATTTAGATGAAGGGTGTTAATTTGTGGTTGCCTAGCTAATCGTATAGCTCGTGATGGCTCCAGAAGCCACCTGCGCTACAGCTCTGCATTTTAAATGTAATAAGGGCCACCTCGCCTAAGCCACTTGAGTTCATCCAGCAATACCCGTCCACGGCAGCAGCAACCCTTGTTTGCGGGGGAAAAGAGGGAGCCAGCTCCCTGCTGGGACCCTGTGGACAAGAGCTGCTTTGCATAGCCTCCTCTATCTCAACCTGCTGCCTCTGATAGATGCAGCGAGGGGAGAGGGACAGGCAACTCCTTGGAGATACTGCTGGGGGGGAAATGGCACCGCAGGGAGCACAGGTCGAGCTAGGACTCAAGCAGTCTCCGCTCGTCCCATGTTCCAACTGAGGCGCTTCAGCCATTTCAAAGGCTGAAACACCGCAGTGAGAACTGGTGTGAGCAGGGACTGCTTGAGTCCCCATTCGTGTCATTTTCCTGCTGTACCTCTGCCTTCCCTATCCCCCCCAGAGACAGTGCAGGAGGCAACTGCTTTAAAGCATCAGCTCCTGTTCCCCCTCCACCCCCCATTGATAGAGGCAGCGGGGATGGGGGAAAAGAACTGACTAGTCGAGTCACTACTCGACTAGCTGATAAACTTATGCTTAGATTATCTAAAATAATGGTCCCCAAACATTTTCCCTAATGCCCCTGTATCCCTGTCCATTCCCCCTAATGCCCCTGTATCCCTGTCCATTCCCCTTCCCACCCCTGCAGATGTTGTTGGCTACCAGGGCTGGAAGAAAGGCGGCAGCTGGGTCCAAGACCACAACGGGGAGTAGAACCATGGTCAGAGCACAGGGCCAAGGCTGGGGCTGCAGCCAGGCAAGCCAGTCCAGTTCAAATGCCCTGGGCTGAGGCTGCAGCTGGGGAGGGTCTGGACCAGGGAGTTGAGGGCAGGCACACCAAGAGAAGAGGCACAGGCTTTGATGCTCCCCCGCCCCCAGACTGTAATTGACCTGGGGGCAGTAGAGCAGCAGGGCCTCCGTGGGCTGGAGCCACCCTCTTGGCAGGCTGAATCCGGCCTGCATAGGCCTTTTTGCCCATCCCGATGTACAGGCTTTTAAATGGCATAAAACACTCCTTTTTAACCCTAGACGTTCTCAAGGGTATTGGCTACTATGTCTGAAGTGGAAGTCAAATAATGTGCCAGGAGAAGCAAGATAATCAAAACAGTGATTTTACAGCCAAGTCAGGGAACTGCAACTACTCATACACATGATTAAGTTTTATGAACAAATGGTCCCAAGATTGGGACTTCTATATGGTGCCTAGCACATTGAGATTCTTGATATTATGGTTATGCTTTCATGCACAGACTTAAAATATATATTTGATGTTTTTTTCTGCTTTTTACCATCTTAATTTAAATGAAAAAGTACAGAAATCGTTTCCTTTCTTTGTAATTTTTTTTTTTTTTACACTTTCCTGCCTTTTTGTAGTTTACATTGAACACACTACCATATTGTTATTTTATTTGCTTCCCCCCATCTCTGCTGCTGATTGATCATACCTGAGATATCAAGATATCAGTGACTGACCAGTTAGTAAGGATGTGGAATATCATCTAACTGAATAGTCGATGCATTTTGCATTGACTATTTGATTAGCAGATAGGGTGCCTCTACCTTTGCCCCTAGGGCTGTGCTACACTTCAAAGGTGAAAGCAACACCTCGAGCAGCCTGGGGATGAGGACGTTTCAAACTGGCAGCAGCATGGGGAGCCAAAAATTTGGCCCCAGGCTTCAAGCAGCACTGCTGCTTTGACTCCCCCCCTGCTGCGTCTTTCAGATAGAAGCAGCAAGGAGGAAAGAGCGACTAGTTGATTATCTGATAATCATTTGCTTACTGGATAGTTGACTAGTCCTTGGCATCGCTACCAGTTAGTTCATAATTTTGATGTTCTACTGTATTAACTTGTATTAACTATTCCTCTAAATCAGTGGTCCCCAACCTTTTGGGGCTGCTGGGCGCCCGCAGGCGGGGCCACGCATGTGCCACGTGCCCAGAAGCGCAAGAATGGCTCTGGTCGCTAGATGGGCGCACATAACTGCCATGGCAGGCACTGCATTGGGGCCCCCTGCTCTAAATTATGTATTAACATAAAACACTTGAGAGTTCTCCCTGTGCCCTAATTTAGCAAGGTAATCCTGTACAAAACAGTCATATTGAAGCTAAAGGGACTACCATACATTTAGGCGTGTTGCTGAATAGAGCCAGCTTATCATATAGCTGATTCCTGGTTTCAGCTCTGAGCTTTCTTCTCGCAATCCAAGGAAGCCATACATGCCCAGAGAATGTATTTTTAAACCCACACGCAATTACAAGAATTGTGTAGCTGTGGCCTGTGCGCCTAGACACTTCAGATTGTGCAGCACAGGTCTCTCGTGCACTCTAAGGTAACCCAGGACCGTCAACCCCTTATCATATAGCTGATTCCTGGTTTCAGCTCTGAGCTTTCTTCTCGCAATCCAAGGAAGCCATACATGCCCAGAGAATGTATTTTTAAACCCACACGCAATTACAAGAATTGTGTAGCTGTGGCCTGTGCGCCTAGACACTTCAGATTGTGCAGCACAGGTCTCTCGTGCACTCTAAGGTAACCCAGGACCGTCAACCCCC